AAGGCCTTATGATCCCCGAAGCTTTCATGGCCAGGGCATTCCCAACGAGAGCCAATGGGCTATTTACATCTCAGTATAGAAAGGAATCGATAGAAAGCTGAAAATTGCCTAATTCATGGCGGCCGAAGGAGGACACAGTGGGAATTATCTGAAATTAACTGCTTTGCTATGGAGACAAATCCAGAATAGTGAGAGGGAATATTCTGGTTGGGGAGGGGGGGTGTTCAAGCTGAGTCACCATAAAAACACAGTAAAGGCTAAAGTCAGGCAGGAACAGCAAGAGTCAGATGCATTAGGTTTGCAATCAAGTTCAAGCAAACCTCAGTGACAGTGGAGGTTGACTATAGTTCTAACAGCAAGACTCAAGGGGTGTGTCTGCAGGAAGTCAAGGAGCCAAAGGCAAGAGGTAAAGAATACTGCTTCAGAAAACTCTCTCCATTAACACAGAGCCTCTCATCAGCCACATTCTCAGCTCTAAGAAAGAACATTCTTTTTTTTTTTTTTTTTATTTTTATACCAGGGATTGAACAGGGATTCTTACCCACTGGGCCACATGTCCAACCATTTTTAATATTTTTATCTAGAGACAGGGTCTCACTGAGTTGTTTAGGGCCTCACTAAATTGCAGAGAGTGGCATTGAACTTGCAATCCTCCTGCCTCAGTCTCCCAAGCCACTGGGATTACAGGCATGCACCACCATTCTCAGCAAGAAAGGTCACTCTAGTGGAAGTTCGTACCCTCAGGGAGGGAGCACAGGATTATTTCTGGCCCTTCATCCATGACAACAGGCTGAGTTTATTTTCCAGCCATCTATAGAGAGACAATTTGGTAAGAAGTTAATAATGGAAATGTGGACGTGGCATGTCAAAGGAGTGTGCACATGTGGGGGTGATTTTAGGCTCTGCACTAATGGACAGGCTTTGTCAGGGCAAGACTGCCTCTTTCTCCTTCACCTTTGTACCCAAACATCTAGCGATATGACTGCTACATGGGAAGGGTTCCATAAATGTCTCCCAAATGAACGAACACAGAAATGCTCAAGAGAATAAAATGCCCAACCCTTAAGAAGAACCAATTTCATTCTGTGAATTTATAGCTAAGTGATGGCTATGATTAACCCCTTGAAAGGGGTCCAACAAACCAGAATGTAATAATTCTTCCTTAGCAGCTTGTACAAAATGCTTACAGCATTCAACATACATTTACTTTTTCCTAAATGAGACAGGCCTCTCTCCTTGCAGGCTAAGTATATGAGATTTTACTATGGTTCTCCTCTGTGTAGACAAAGTCTTCTAACTTACCCTGACTCAGACGTGTTAAATCAGGAGAGTATAAGTGGGTCTGACACTAAAGAGCCCACTTTGGACAAATGAGTCGCTGTTTTCTTGCCTGAGATGGGTTTGAATCACACCCATCCTTAGTTACTGTATTTATTCTTCAAGATTCTTTAGGTTCATGATTTAAATTATGTTAGTCTTTAGGACTTGGGATAAAAGACCAAAAAGGCACAATGAAAACCATAGACATGGTTCTTTTGATGACCTCATGGTCCCAGGACACAGGGCTGGCTGGCCTATGACACATTTATTATTATAAATGGTAACGTCTCATTCTCTTTCACACAAAAGCTAACTGGGCAGGGCTTTCAATCTCATAATCCTTTAGCTGCAGTGGCAATCCGGTGCTTGTTTCAAGAAATCAGGGACAAGAAGGTAATGAGAGGGTTCTATTTACTTCTGATAAACCACCATTTGTTGCTTAGATGCAAAGAAAGGTAAAGATTCAATCTGTAGTTGCAAAACATAAAACATGCTCTTAAAGCAGCCAGGAAGCATGAGTGCTCAAATACAACTGTGTTGATTAAACATTTCAATGTGAGCTGGACACTGGGCTAGGTACTCAGTGGAGAGACAAAGAACACAAAATGCTTGTCTTGTTCACAGAGCTTGTGATTTCCAAGAAGCCAGGAAACGTACAATGATTTCTGATACTCCAGAATAACGATTTAGGGTTGATGTATAAATCTACCTTAATAAAAGCACAGAACAGGAAGCAATGAATACACTTGAGAAGGCCAAGGAAAGTTAAAGCTGGAACTGAGAGTTGGACTCCACCTTGAAGGATGCAGGGATTTCCACCAGGAAAAATTTGGAAGATATGTTTTAGGTAGCAGAAACTGCAGAGAGGTACAAAAGCACAAATAAAGTTGGTTCAGTTAGGCATGCAGGGTCCAATGTGGCTGGAAGAGAGGGCGCTGGGTGTGGGGATGAAGGATGAGATCAGAGAAAATGATTAAAGCCAGATCAAACAGGGCTTTGAGTGGGCCAAAAAGTTTGGAATTCATCTTATAGAAATGGAAAACCTTTGGGCTTTTTCAAAGCACATGATTGCAAGAAAAGAGGTAGGCTTTAGAGAGATGTTTATCTATACGGGGCATGGACAAGAGGCTGTGGACCCAGAGGTAGAGCTGCTTCCAGATTTTGAGGAAGATATAAGCTAACAAGCAAAACAAAACATGTACATTCCTTCCCCACACAGTTTGATCACGGCACCATGAAATGTCTACTTGAAATTCTGGAGTTTCAATTCCTATAATCCCTTGAAACCCGTACTTTAAAAAGCACTGCTTTGGTCACATTAAAAACAGCACAGATAACAAAATTCATTGAAAGTAAAAAGGAAGCAGTCAGATTATGTCTTTTTGAAAATGATATAATCTTATGTACAGAAAATCCTAAGACATACAAACACACACACCATTTAAAAGAAGAAAAAAATATATATACCCTCAGGAATAAACTTAACCAAAGAGGCAAGAATTAGATACTGAAAACTGCAAACATTGCTGAAAGAAATTTTAAAAGACCTAAATAAATGGAAAGATAGATTTATAGATTAAAGAACTTCATATTTTTCATATAACAATACATTATTTTCCTATAGATTCAATGCAGTTTTTATTGAAATATCAAGGACACATTTTTCAGAAATAGAAAAATCCATCCTAAAATTCATATGGAATCTCAAGGGACCCCAAATAGCTAAAACAATCTTTAAAAGAAAAATAAAATTAGAGATCTCATGCTTCTCAATTTCAAAACTGAACATAACACTGTGGTAATCAAAATAGTATGGTACTAGCAAAGTACAGATATCTAGACCAATAGAATAAAATAGCCAGAAACAAACTCTCACATGTATAGTCAACTAAAGGATGGCCTTTCCAACAAATGGTTCTGGAAGAACTGGATATCCACAAGCAACAGAATGAAGCTGGACCCAAATATTATACTATATACAACATTTAAAATGGGTGAAAGATCTCAACTTTATAGCTGACAGCTATAAATAATTAGAAGCTGGGTACTGTGGTGCATGCCTGCAATCCTAGCAATTTGGGAGGCTGAAGCAGAAGAATCACAAGTTCAAGGCCAGCCTCAGAAATTCTGCAATACCTTGTCTCAAAAAAATAATAAGGGCTGGGGAAGTAGCTCAGTGGTAAAGCATCCCAGGGTTTAATCCCCAGAACCAAGAAAAGAAAAGAAAACTCAAGATGACATCTTCTTCACATTGGTTTTAGCAATAAGGCAACACAAGAAAAAATGATATTGGATTTCAAAATCAAAACTTTTGTACCTCAAAGTAAAAAGGCAACTCACAGAATGGGAGAAAATATTGATAAATCATTATATGATAAGGGATTAATATCTAGGATATATAAAGAGCTCCTACAACCCAACAACAATAATACAATTTGAGAATAGGCAAAGGACTTGAACAGAACATAAATCCAAACATATACAAATAGCCAGATAAACTTGAAAAGATGTTTAACATCCTCAGTCATTAGGGAAATGCAAATAAAAACCACAAATGAGATAACATTTCATGACCATTAGGATGACTATGATCAAAACAAGGGAAAAATTTTTTTTTAAATGCGAGTGAGGAATGGTGAGAGAATTTGGAAACTTTGTGCATTACTGGGCAGGAATGGAAGATAGAGCAGCTACTATAGGAAAAAAGTATAGTGGTTCCTCAAAATAAATTAAACATAACTAGGTATAGTGGCGCACACCTATAAACCCAGCTACTGTGGAGGCTTAGTTTGAGGCAGCCTGGGAAATAGAGTGAGGCCCTATCTCAAAATAAAAAACAAAAAGGGGTGGGGATGTACCTCAGTGGTTGAGCACCCTGGGTTCAATCCCTGCTACCACAAAAAAGAAAGAAAAACAAATAAATAGAATTACCATGTATGCTAGAAACTTTTACCCTAAACATGAGCCAGAAGAATTAAAAGCAGGGACTCAATGAGATACTTAGACACTAATGTTCATAGCATCATTGTTTACAACATCTAAAACGTGGAAACAACTCAAGTGTCCATCAATGGATGAATGGATAAACAAAATGATATATAAATACAGTGGTACATTATACATCCCTAAAAAAGGCATAAAATGAGAAACATGTTACAGTGTGGATGAAACTTGAAAAAAAAATTATTGTGGCTTAAAGTAACCATACACATGTGGACAAATGCATGATTCTATCTCTATGAGGCACTTAGAGTAGTAAAATTCACAGAGACAGAAAGTACAATGGTGTTGTCAGGGGCTAGGGGCAGGGAAGAATGAGCAGCCATTATTTAATGGGTGCAGAGTTTCTGTTGGAATGAAGAACCACTAGAAGTGGATTGTGGCACTGGTTGCATAGCATTGTGAATGCACTTAATGAAATTGAATTGCACATTCGGAGAGGATTAATATGGTAGAATTTTTGTTGTGTGCACTTTACCACAAACAAACAAGCAAAAACCCCAGCACAAATAGCATGACTCTGACTACACAGGAGTCTCTATTAGTGAGCAAAGAAGAGAGGCCTTTTCTCAGACTCAGGGGAGATCTGGGAGTTAAAGAAAGCACCACCAAGACGGAAACGGCACAGGTCATCCCTGAGCAGCAGAGCAGGTCAAGAGGCTCAGAGACAGCAAACTCACATTGCAGGTGGAGGACCCATCAAACGTCGGGTAGGAGCCATCTGGCCAGTCGGTGGGGTCCAAGGACGCTGACTGCCGGTGCTGAGCCTCGTACTCCCTGAGCTGCAGAAAAAAGAAATGGAAGATTGAAATGGAAATCATGGCTGAATGCAGGCTGTGACACGGCAGGCAGCAAGATCCCTTTGGGGACCTTCTGCATGCCAGTGTTGGTGACCAAGTGCCAGTCCAAGACAAGTCTTCCAGAATCAGAGGAAGATGAACACCCTGCCCGGCGGGTTTCATCTAAATCAAACAAACGACACAAGGGATTCTTTGTATCCTGACTTCCACAGAGAACCTTGATTTCCCCTCCAACATCCAAACACATCTTTCAAATTAAGTTTGAAAACAGAAACTGCCACACACCTGTGAAACACCTCCAACATGTGTAAGTCAAAGCACTCCCTTTTCAGGAGACAATGGGCGAGGCTGCAGACATCTCAGGGACATGGGGCGCTCAAACCGACTGACTTAAAATTCACTTGCATTTCTTGTTCAAGAGAGCAACTGACTAGTTCAATGTTGCTACCTAACAAATGTTATGGAGTTTACTGAGGCCCTTGAGGATGGGGAGGAAAATGACCAGACAACTGGAATATCTTCAGAGATATTTAAATCTTCTGTTTACAAACTAAGTTTCTGGTTTTTGAAACACAGAAAGATAAGTGTCAGGTGTGGTGGTGCACACCTGTAATCCTAGGGGCTTGGGAGGCTGAGGCAGGAGGTTTGCAAGTTCAAAGCTAGCCCCAGCAACTTAGTGAGGCCCTAAGCAACTTAGTGAGACCCTGACTCTAAAACAAAATACAAAAAAGGGCTGGGGATGTAGCTCAGGGGTTAAGTGCTCCTGGGTTCAATCCCCAGTACCAAAAAACAAAACAAAACAAAACAAAAAAAAAAAACCACACAGAGACAAGTGAAACACTTTAGGAAAAGGAGAAAATTTGACAGCAAAATCAGATGAAGGATCTTTGAGAATGGCCTATGTGAGAAGTTCTAGGTATGTTTTCATAAAACAGAAACTGAACTCTGCTACTTAGCACAATTAAATTGTCACTGCATTAATATTCTATTATAAAGCCATTTTTAGACATGAATTTAAGACATTGATCAAATCGCATTCCATGAACCAAGCAAATTAAAAACAGAAATAGCCTGATCGGAAACCCATGTGATAGTGACAGGGCACATCCCAACCTCTAGAGCTATGGGACGTGGCAAAGCCACCACACTGACCCTCCTTCCTCTAGGAGAAGGCAACTTTTCCAAATGTTATTTTCCCTCAGAAATTCTCTCCTGGACATCTATGGGAGGAGTCAGGCATTACTGATTATTGGGCAAGAGGTTGGACACAGATACTAAGTGCCAGCTGGGAAGCTGGGAGCCCAGGGCAGTTACTGAACCCCTCTGAGTTCCCCCACCATGCTAGAATGTTCTTCTCATGTGGATATATCGTTTTTGAGATGCTACATTCTCCCTGAATACTGGAGAAGAGCTGCCAGTTGGTAAATGGGATCATTATGGGATTATCAGGTTTTCTTTTCATTTTCTTGCTACACCTTAGCCTCAACTTACCAGGAGCAGCTAAATAAGTTTCATTTGTAATGAAAAAAGATACAGATTCCTAACTGGCAATCATCAATTGTTGTTGGTTTTTTTTTTTAATCTAAGGACTTTATTTTGTACTTTTACACAAATTTAGCTTTGAGGAATCAAAACACATGCTTATCAGATGGATAAATGTATAATGTTTAGGACTCAGATCACATTACACAAGTAGTCTTTAGTATCAGGATGTCTATTTTTAAGGAAAAAACAACCATACATCACCGCCATAGGTCACATTCACTCTCCTTTAGACTGATTTCCAGTTACATTTTCAAAAAATGTATTTTTCTATAGCATAGCTCCATTGTTGCTGAGTATCATTATGCCAAAAACAATTCACAGTATTCTTTTTTATTCAAGGCTTTAAATGTAAGTTTATTCCCTACTCTCCTGTATTCATACCTCTACACACACACACACACCCAGGTAAATCAATAACCTATAACTTCCAAGAATCTCACTGGGCTTCCTCTGCTTTGCACAGCCAGTAAAAGATCTGAATACCCTGAACTTACTTGCCAAGAAACACGTATGCCCTTGAGATTAGTACCTGGAAACTGTATTATTTAGAACCTGCCAATTACACTGAGCCCCCTAAACTTTTTTTTAAACTAGTGAGCTTGACTTCTTTAAAACACATATAGTAAATATTCATCACAAAACTATAAAAATGTTTAAAATGCCATTAGATTGGATGGAACTGTACAGTTAATAAAATATAAAAATCATAAATTAAGTTGGCTATCTTTATAAATTAGGCATTGAAAAAGAGTGCAATGAGTGTAATTTAGTGAACATTCTCTTCAAATGCTTTTGTGGCTTACCATGTTGTTTCATATATTAGTACCTTGTAGTCTTTTTCACCTCGATCTTCATTTGTATTGGGTAACTGGGTTTCCAGGGGTGTGAATGGCGGCTGTATAATTTAGAGTGGGAAAACAAGCCATCCGTGAGATCAAATTCATACAAATGAAGCCTGGTGGACCCAACTGTCTCAATTTGTACACAGGCAAAAAACTGTCCCGATACAATGACATCCAGCTCCAGTGGCGCATAGGAAACTCCTCTGGTGATGGATGTTGTGTCATTATCAATCAGGGTTCACACCCAGAAGTTCTACCCATGAGTCTTTGCAACTTTGATTGATAGTGGAAGGCATAGCCCACCTGACATCCTGGAACAATGATACACCCTGACAGAGCCTGAGGAGTTTGGGCCATTCTCATCATGGTCATTATAGGAGGTCTATCTTAGCTTTTCCTGTATACAGTGATCAAGTAAATTTATATCCTCAAGCTGGCCACAAGCTGAAGGATGCAGGTCCTCTCTGCTTACTGTTTTCTGTTCCTGATCGCATTTACTTGAAGTGTTTTGTCTCTAGCTAAAATGAATCCCATCAAGGTCCCTGTAATAGAGATGCATGCTGCCCCGAGAAGAGCAATCAAAAAAGCATTCCTGCCACTTCATCATCTGTCAGAGGGCACCCAGCCCTGTATGGAGAAGCTAGTAAAGTATGAAGAATGCAACTGTTTCTGTTTCCTGACTATCTGCTTTTCTGGATTGCCTCATAGCAATATTCTTAAAGTCTTGATGAGCACGGAGGCTGCATTTGAAACTAGGCAAAGATGCCCACCTGGCAGCAGATGCATGACTGAAAGCTACAAGCAAACCTGCACACAAGGCCACTTTCTCATTCAGTTCACCTCTGATGTAAACAAGGCTAGCTGCTAAAATTACAAGCTCAGAAAGCTTGAAGCAATTTTTTTTTCCACTTCTTCCCCAAGTTTGAAAGTATTCCTTGGTTTCTTTGTCAAATAGTGAAATATGCTATATAAGTTGGATGAGAGTAAGGTCACTTTTTAACATTTTTCCCTTGCTCCATGAAAACTGGATTAGATACATCACATGCAACTTCCTTCTCAAACACAGGTGCTGTGGGATGTCTGTGGACATCTTCTGCATTCTGACCTTCAGTTTTACTATTAAGAAGCAGTGTGGGGCAACACTACTCAGAGGACAGGTAAACATCGTATCTGTGAAACTAAATACAGATTCACTCTTCCCATATCTGTTTTCTAGAGATTCAGTTAGTTTTTTTCCAAATGCTATGAAATGACCAAGGAATGGAACAGGGCGAGGGGCAGGGATTGTCTCTGCCAGCAGCTGTGCCACATGGTCAAGGGCATAGAAAGGAGACAGACCAGGCTGAGCAAGAAGGTGCAGGAGATGAGCAATGTGGGCAGGATGTTGACACCTGTTAGCTGCTCCATCACCAGTCCCAGCAACAACCTGCTTATCTGCAGTAAGCCCAGCCAACATCATCCCTGCTTTTGCCACTGCTTTAATCTGCTGGGGACTCTGGAGGCCAAGGTCTCTGGCACTTTTCCAAATCAGAGATGGAGAAATGTCAGCGGATGGGTGTCCCAAGGCAGCCCTATCCTCAAATCACCTACTAGATCCAGTCCCACTCTCCACTCACAGAAGTGCTTTTTCTTGCAGCATTGTTTAGCAACACATGCTCTTGAGGCTCAGAGTCAGGTATTCTAAGCTAAGCTGAGGATGCTTATCAAGGTTTCAGACCTTTAAGATTCCATTTAATGGTTGCTTTGGTTTGAATGTATTTCCCCCTCCAAAATTCATGTCGAAATTTGGCTGTCCCTGTGGAGGTGTTAAGAGGTGGGAGTTGGAATTTGGGAGATAGTAGGGCCATGAAAGCTCTGCCCTAATGGGTGGGATCAATAAAAGAGTAAGTTCAGCCTCCTTTCCCTTCTTGGCCCTTCCACCTTCTGCCATGGGAGCATCCAGTCTTCCTCCCCTCCAGAGGACACTGCGTGCAAGGTGCCATCTTGGATGAGGAGCATGGCCTCCACAACACAAATCTACCTGGACTTCCCAGCCTCCAGAACGGGGAGCCAATAAGTTCAAGTTCATGTTCTTTTTACATTATGCAGTCTGTGGCATTCTACTATAGCAACACAAAATGGACTAACACAAAGGTAGAATTACAACTCATTCAATGGTTCCATAGTGACTTGGAAGCTTCTGTTAGTTTCTAACCCTACCTACTTATGACGAGTCAGCACAGTAAAAAACCAACCATTCAAAAACCAGTCAGCTCATCAGTCAACAACAAAATAGGAAACATCTCAATAAATTACTGCCTCATTTCCATAAATACTACTTCCGTATCCTAAAGGCTAATTGGCTTCTAATTTAACTCAGGGACAGGGGAAAGACACAATAAACTGCAGATAATATTATTTTAGGTGTAAAAGTAAGCAAAATTTTAAGGCATTCCCGAAACATAATTTTGATCTCTTAGAACTGACGTTTATGATGCTTATAATACATTTAATTTTTGTTTAAAATTTTATTCTTAACCATTAATTACATTCTTATCAGTTTTTTCCAACAGAATTCAGAGGGTCATTCCCTCACTGAAGTGGTCCACAGATGAAAGATACCTGCCATTCATTCATTCATTCATGTATTTACTGGATGACGTTTTACGTTGTAAGGTGGAATGCTTGTGTCAAATGAATAGAATGGAATCAATATTTCATCTGACAGTGCAGGTAAATGATGGCCATCAAAATATTACTTCAGGGGCTGAAGGTGTGGCTTAGTGTAGAGTATCTGCCTTGCATGTGCAAGGCCCTGGGTCCAATTCCCAGCACTGTGACCCCCACCACCTTTACTTTAGATATTAGATTCTAGACCCTTCGATGCCCCCAAACATTTTAAATGTAAGGAGCTGTGAGCCCAAGACCTGCTCTCTTACCCTGGCGAGGGCTTCTTCGATGGTGATCATCTTTTCTTTGACCATCATCATCAGCTGAATCCGCTCCTCGTCACTCATCGTTATCTCACTGGCCACATAACCAACATCTTCTCCTGGAGATTAAAGACAAAAAACATCAGAAGTAAAACCCAAAGAGGAAATGGGGCCCGTCATCATCTTGGACAAAGGCAGGCTGCTTCTGACTGACACTGCGTGCACTGTCCATTACGGCTGGAGCAACACAAAGCAGAAACCTTTTGCTTTTCGGGACGCCAATGAGCGTGGCTACTTGCAAAAAGTGTTCCGAGAATATGTGGATGCTACAATAGGTGCAAGTCTTTCAAAATGACCAGCACTTTTGGAAAGGAGCATCTGGTTTTGGAAGAAAGCTGACAAGGAGCTCCTTGTGACAGGTGGGGCAGAGATCTAATTCAAACACCCAACTGGATCTGCTCCATGCTCCAGGTCTCCTCTGGCCAAGGGCTCTCAGAGTCCTTCCATTTGAAGTACAAATGAGAAGAACACACATTTGCGAGAAATGGGCGTGAACCCTCTGCCATGGCAGAAAAAGGTAAAGCCACAGAGCTGAACCCTGCAGCCTGCTCCAGCCCTACATTCCTGATAAGTCACGTGGCTGTAGGTCCTCACAGGATAAGCATGGATAATAAAATCACAGATAATAAAATCACACGCTGAGCTCAATGAGGAAAGGTGCTATGGGCATTTGTATCTGGAAGTATTATTGTCATAATAATTATCCAAACTATGAGGAAAGGTCAGCTTCCAACTTAAGACCACTGAAGAGGAAAAGAATCCCCATTAGGATCCTTTGAAAGCCCTTTTCCTGCAAAGCAAACAGACTGCATCACCCCTAATATATTTGAGGCAGCTGTGCCTTGGTCAGCATGTGTGAAAGGAGGTCGGTGACAGTGGGCTGCCCGCAGGGGAGAGCTGACATCCAGCCCCTCATCTTTCCCCTTTGCCCTGTCTTCCTCACACACACCTGAAATCACAGCATCTCAGCTGTGGCTTAGCTGCCCTTGGTGTACGGGAATAGAACCAGAGAATCTAGCTGCAGACTCCTAGGAACCCATTACAGGCAGAGCCTATCTTGGAATTTATGTCCCCTGTGTTTCCCTGTCTCATTTCTATTTTGTAATCAATCAATCAATCAATCAATTAATTCAGAAGTGCCCCTCAAGTTTCCATTGCCAGGCGAGGAGAGACTCCTGCCAGGTTAGTGCATTTCACTATCCCCAATGCCTCTGAGAACACAGCAGTGTTGGGGTGTGGGGTGGGTTTTTAATAAACCCTGGGAACTGGTAAGATGCTGGCTTCTTTCTGCCTCCGCTCCCTCTCTCCCCACCTCTCTTTCTCCAGAGCTTTCTTTCTAAATGAGACTTCATTGGAATACCAGGTTCATTTTCAATCACAAATGATCCCGGGTTTGTATCCAAGGGAAAAACTGGGGGTGTCTCAGAGGAACGTCTCTAAGTAGAACAACTTAGAAAAGTAACCGCACTTGAGTCCTGCCCAGGAAGCCAGGTGTGCAGCGGGGGTGCCTGATGTCCAGGTCCCCTTTTCTCATTTCTGTGCAGGAGTAACTGGAGAAGCATGCTGAACAGGGTCAGACATGGACATATGATTTTGTCAAGAAAGACCACTAGGGTCATTGGAGAGGAATAAAAAATGTTCCCTTATTGATCACCATATTTAGTCAGACTGGAATCTGGAAGTGGATTTGTTCTGGTTTTCTCTGTGAAGACTGGGGGAACATAAATTACACCACCAGGCCTCAAAGGGATGACATATTTACTTTCCATCTAAACAACAACAAAAGACAGACCCAGAGTAGGGCAGAACCGCCTTCACAAAGCAGCCTGGGCAAATTCCCATGATGTCAGACCATTAGCGAGTTTCTAGGGGCAACAACCCCATAACTGGCCCTGCCACGGAACAGCGTCAAAAGTTCAGGAGGATGCAAAGGCTCTGAGTGGGGGGCGTGGACAGGAGGGTCCAAAACTAACAAACAGGGGGACTCTCTCGACTCTTTGAGGTTAGCTCTCCGAGAGTAAAGATATTTCTGAGTTCGGTGTTACTGAGAGCACTAACAATTTGGTCTTTGCTCCCAGCTCTGTAAAAGGAGCAGACTGCTCACTAACCACTCCTGTTTCATTTTCTGAGTTAAAAAAAAAAAAAAAAATGACCCAGATGAAGGAAGTCAACAATAAGAATGTTAATCTTAAAGTTAACAATCGGAATGTCCGCAAAGCTGACCATTTTACAGGCTCATGCAATGCGTTATTTGAACTTTCAACGCCCATTTAGATTAGTACACAGGCTTGGTTTGGGAGCTAAAAGGACCTACTGTCCGCCAGCTGCATTACAGTACCTTTTGAAGTCTGTCTCATTATTCCTTTCTGGTTCTTTCGGAAGTTCTGCCAGAAATACTTATTCTTCTTCTTCCAATCTCCTTTTCCTTTAAAACAAGAAAAATGGAAGAAAAGGCACAGTAATAAATTCATTGATAGCAGAAGTAGCCTCTTCCTTGTCATTTCAAAGCTTCCAAAAAAAGAGTTTTTTTCTTTCAGTTTGTGAATGACTGGGAAATGCTTATAAAGTTGTTTAAAAGAAATGCAAATTTCCTAGTAGCAAGAAATAGGGTAGGGTGAAGATGAGAAATAAAGAAACATCAAAAGGGCGGCAAAATGTGCATTCTTGTACCCGCTTTGATGTTTGTTTAACTAGTCTGCCTCATTCTGCCTTGTCTGTGGTTCCTTCGGTCTTAGCCACAATTATTTCCACTATACCACAAATAGGACACTCTAAGAAGTTGACTTTCTGTTGTTGTTATTTCTGTCGTTGATCTACACTTGTTTAACTTCTGTTATTCCAGATCGAATGAAGAGAACCGAATAGAATGGTTGCTAGTCCTGGGCTCAAGGGTCACTAGAGCTGGTTCTGGGGGCTTCAGTGTGGCTGTGCAGGGGCGGGGGAGGGGGACTCACAGACACCGACCCACACTGTTTCTCTATGGTGTGTAGTTTCTCTGCGTCTAGCTATGGCATGGGTGGGGCATGATTCCCACCTCTCTGGCATTCAGGCCACTTGGCAACCTACCTACAGATTAGCCAGGGCACAGTGACAAGAAAAACACATTGCAATCCTGCTGTGACACCTCCCAGCTGGTCTCCCTCTAAATTCCCACCCTTCCCAGACTATTTTGGGTGACTTATAAGTGAAAACAAATTCCTTGCCACAGATAGACACTTTTAATACTTGGTAGGGTCCTGATCATCAATCCTATGAAACACTTTTTAAAAGTAAAGGGAAGCTGGGGGCAGAGGTGCCTGCCTATAATCCCAGAAACTTGGGAGGCTGAGGCAGGTGGATTACAAGTTCAAGACCAGCCTCAGCAACTATGTCAGGCCCTAAGCAACTCAGCAAGACCCGGTCTCAAAATAAACAATAAAAAGAGCTGAGGAGGAGGTTCAGTGGTTAGGCGTCCCTGGGTTCAATCCCTGGTATTAAAAAATAAAACAAAAAAACAAGGAAATAAGATGAATAGGTAGAGCGGTCCTATATTCTATAAAAATAAGAGGCAGTGGCAGCAGTGATATCTGACATTGTGCTGATGTGGCAAACTCGGGAGCATCAGCTCCGTCACCGTTTGGTGCCTGTCTGGTTGCTCTGTGGCCACTGGAAAAAGGACAAAGTGGTGGGTTTGCACAGTCTAGACTGGTGGTTCCCAGCAAAGCGATGCTTGGAGCAAACGTGTGGGAAACTCGTCCATGGTGCTCCCAGGCTTGCAGGGTGTCATTTTTCAAGACAGGGGCCCTCATTTAAGTTCGGACAACCCCAGAGCCATGGGAATGAAACCGGAGTCCTTCAGCCCTAGATGGCCTCTGCATGCAGACCTTAAAGGCACGTTTCAGGGTCCCTGCTGCCCTTGGGCAACACACTAAAGCAAGTGCAGCAACGAAGGGTTAAAGCAGAGTGACTGTCACTTATTCAAGCCTTTCTCAGGCAACTTGAGAATATAATGCATTTCTTTGAGCTATATTCCCCACTTCTTCTATTCTCATGTTTCTGAAATAGAGATACATCTCCAAAAAAAAAAAAAAAAAGAATATTAGTTTATGTTTATTCAGCAATTGCTATATCCGGGCACTTTGCAATCTAATGAGTGCATCTTGTTTAAGACTCTCTTACAGGATGCATCATGTTATCATTCCCATTGAGGAGAAAACTGAGGCCTGGGAGGTGGGGGTTACAAGGCCTAGTTGACAAGAGTTGTGACTCAAATCCAGCAGCACGATTTGAGCACTTAGGTCACTCTTAGCCACCTACCCTCCAGCCCTGACAAAAATCAAAAGTGGGTTTTATAATTTAGAATATATAAAATACCTAATGCCTTAAATGCATACTTCTGGGTCCAAAAATTATAAATTGAAGAATTTACCCTAAAGACATTATCAAGGATAGAGATTCAAGGAATTTTATAGCAGCATCATTTGTCTGTGTCAGAGAAAAAAGCGGAAACAACTTAAATGTCCAGCAAAGAAGAGAATGGTTATTTAACTATGACATATCCAATACCATGCAGACTTATAACTTTTACTGCAAAGACTATTCAATGGGGGGGTGCTCATAACTTTCAGTTTTTCAAATTCTAAACCAGTATTCAAATATGATCCCACTTGTTTAAAAAAAAAAAAAAAAACTCTACACAATGGAAGAAGGTGGGGAGGGAAAGAGGGAGAGGGAGAAGAGGAGAAGAGAAGAAAGAGAAGAGACAGAGGAAGAAAAAGGTTGTCTATCAAAATCTTAACTGTTTACTTTTGGGTAGAAGGATTCTTTGTGGTTTCTATAGTTTCACAAGTCTTTATTTTCTATAAAATATGAAAATAAAATAATTAAATATTTAAACCAAGAAAAATGGTACTGACCTACAGAGCCGTCTTCTGAGTTTGATTTATGAAGAGGGTGCCTGAAAGAGAAAGACAAATCAGATTACCAAGGAGCACTGCTTTGAGAAGCAAACTGAGGACCCTCCTAGCTAGTGGAACCCAGCACCCACATCACCCAACACAGCCAGGAACACTTGTGTGGTTTAAGTATGAGGTAGTCCCCAAAAGCTCGTGGGTCAGACAATGCAAGAAGGTTTAGAGGTGAAATGTCTGGGCTCTGAGAGCCTTAACCCAATCAGTGAATGAATCCCTTGATAGGGATTAACTGGGTGGTAACAGAAGGTAGGTAGAGTGTGGCTAGAGGGGGTGGGTTCTGGGGGCCTATCTTTGGGGTATGTATTTTATATATGGCAAGTGGAGTTTCTCTCTCTCTCTCTCTCTCTCTCTCTCTCTCTCTGCTTCTTGGTGGCCATATTCCCAGCTGCTTTCTTCTGCCACACTATTCCACCATGATGTTTGACTCACCTTGAGCCCCAAAGAATGGATTTGGTTATCTAAGGACTGAGACCTCTGAAACTGTGAATATTTCCTTCTCTAATTGTCTCATCAGGTCTTTTGATCACAGCAGTGAAAGAGCTGACTAAAACCACATTCTGAAAGGATCTTTACCACTCGCCTTTCCCACCCATCTGCTGGATTCCTAGGAACAGATTCCAGTACCATTTGCCATCATTTATTAAAGACTCACTCCAGAACAAGGCCTAGAGTAAATGAAGAGGACAGACCCCACTAGAAGATCAATGAAGTCTCCTCCAATGCTGCGAACTATTAACTACAAGTCATGTCACTGCCACTGGGACTTCTCTTGGGCCCGTGGAAAAGAAAAAAGCACATAATCATGAAACTGTCAACTCAGCACCACATGGGCCGCCTGGTCCATCAGGTGAGTGAAGTGGAAGGAAAGCTACGGGGTGGGGTGGGAGGAGGGTGAGAGGAGGGTGAGGAGATCATCAATGGGAGACGGATGCCAGACAGAGGAGGCAGCCAGCACAGAGCTCCTCCAGTCGGTGGCTGCCAACTGGCAACTGCAATATCCATCTTGCCAGATCTTCCAAGTTCAAAAGACAAGCCAGAAACCTGCATTTTTAGATGAGAGAGCCACATTTTTAAGTGATAGCAAATACTTCAATGTTTCTAGAAAATGGGTCCAATTAAGCAACACATGTCTGGGCACCAGATTTGGCCCCATGCGCTATCCTACAGCCTGACTGCCAGTTTGTGACGGCTGACATGGGTGAACCCAAATGAACCGAAAAGCACACACAACCTAACACCAGTGGAGTAAGCATTTCTCTAGAAAATACTTAAATACCAATTTTAAGCAGGAAGGCAGGAAAGCAAAGAAAGTTAAGATTAATTGTCTCAAAAAGCGAAGAGTAGAAATTGGAGCAGAATCTTTCATTTGGTGAGTCCAAAGGCCCAAGAGCAAGTTCAGAGTCCATGGGTTTGATGAGAAGAAAATTTTGAAAGAAAGAAGAAGTTTAGCACTCAAGGGACTCACACCTGAATCTGCACTGCAAGTTCACTGCCAGAAAGGAACATGAAGTGGTGTCTAACAAAACAGTGTAGTTAGAGTGCAAAGGCTTCATTCAGAAGATGAGTCTGGAAACCTGTTAAACTGAGAAAATTAGAGGAAGAGAAGCAGAACATCCAGATTACCTCTCAGGGACCTGCCTCTCAGGTATAAGGAGTGTAAGGTGACCACAGAAGGGGAGAGGAGCTTTTCTTGTTCAGGGCCACCTGCAATGCTCCACCATTTCTAATGCAGCCCACTATGCAGGCTGATGGCTGGGGGTGTAAGTCTGCAAACATCACCCTGCTCCAGTCTGCGAGAACATAAATGTTCTTGACCAGCACAAAAATCTGAAGATGTCTACCGTGAACTAGATGAGAGTAGGAGCTGAGAAGGGACAGGGGAGAAGCATCTGCAGGGGAGAAGCACTACTCTTCTTCTAATTTTCTCAGTGCTTCACTTACAAGAGTAAGTCTGAATTCTAGCTATTTCCCCTTATTACCATGCAGCCAACACAGAAAATATAATGGAAACCTACTTTGTTGTCAAATTGTGCCAAAATGTAGCTCATAAAGTCTACTTTTGCTCCTTCTATCCTGGCAAAAATGAAATGCCATAAACATACAGAGACTTTTAAGAGGTTGCCATTTCAAATTTTAAATCATTCAGCCAAAATGGATTGAATGATATCACAAGTAAGGTGCATGGGTGCCTATGAAGAAATGGACTCCCAAGCTAGGGAGGGGGGTGGACATGAACAAAGATGCACATGAAGGAAGAGAAGAAGGGGAAGTAGGAGGGGGGACAAGGAGGGAAAAGAGGGGAAGAGGGAGGAGGAGGAGGATGCCCCATGTTCAAGGTACGAAAGGCAGCTAAGACTAAGAAGGCCAATTGGTTGGGGACTAAGGAAAGAAATTTCAAAGAAAAATGTTTAAACTGTTTGGACTCATATGTCAAAAAAATTAAAAATTACTCTAGCATTTTGAAACATGGTCACATGTATCAGTCCCCCTTTTTTCAATGGGCCATAATCTATCAGTCAGTTTAAATGACCACTTAAAACAAAGGACGCCAAACATCTATATTTATGCTTATTCTGAGGACTAGGAAAGTACTGACCTAATTGATAAGGACCAAGTATATCAAATTCCCCAGATCTAGATAAAACTAGCTAACTATGTAATACATTAGAAATATGTACAAACTTCTTTTTTTTTTTTTTGATACAAACCTTTTCATGGGAAAATAGTCTACAGAAACACTACTTTCCTTAAGCCCTTTGCAGATTTAGAATAATAAATCTCATCAAGTTCTCAGAAACTTTCCCAGTCACTTAATGTAAATCCCAATTTGACAGAAAACTCTGGTTTCTAGAAGTTAAGGAAGTGACTCATGGAGACTGGGGATGTGGCTCAGTGGCAGAACACTTGCCTGGCATGCATGAGGCCCTGGGTTTGATCCCCAGCCCCAAAAAGAAAAGGAAAGAAGGAAAGAGGCTGAGTGTGGTGGTGCACATCTATAATTCCAGCAGCTTGAGGGTCGAGGCAGAAGAATTGTGAGTTCAAAGCCTGCCTCAGCAATTTAGCAAGGCCCTAAGCAACCAGTGAACACCTGTCTCTAACTAAAATACAAAAAGGACTGAGGATGTGGCTCAGTGGTTAAGCGCCTCTGGATTCAATCACTGGTACCAAAAAGAAAAAAAGAAAAGAAAACAGAAAAAACAAAACAACCCCCCCACCCCACCCAGGACATGACCCAAGGTCCATGGTACTTGGCAGTCACCAGGAATTGTGTCAAGGAAACCTACTGCAGTCCTATTGTAGAAACCTATCCAGTCCTTTTTCTGAATAAAATGTATTTAAAATTATCTCAATTCTTTGCTTAAAAAAATAAAATGTTCATCTCTGTTTTTCCAACCCATTTTTCACTATTTCTGCCAGACACCATAAAATATGTTAAAACTTATGCTTCGGGGCTGGGGATGTGGCGCAAGCAGTAGCACGCTCGCCTGGCATGCACACGGCGCTGGGTTCGATCCTCAGCACCACATACAAATAAAGATGTTGTGTCAGCCAAAAACTAAAAAATAAATATTAAAAGATTCTCTCTCTCTTTCTTAAAAAAACAAAACAAAACACAAAAACTTATGCTGCAAAAAGCTCTCACTACTATACAGCTATAACAAAATACAACAGTATCTTTCTCTCTAAAATGCTGATTTACAATGTTTTATTATTTTTATTTACTTTCTTTAAATTATGATGCATTTTGAATAATTTTATCTTCAGGTTTGGTCTTGTCCACATCGCTTGCGTTTCCCAAGAATACCAGCAGATGGCACTGTAGTGTCTTTATTAGTGTTTCAGTTGGTGAGTGGAATTTTGTTTTTAAAATTTCACAACTTCCACAACCTACATACTGGTCAGAGAATAACAAGCTAATGTTTCCTAAGTGTGAAGCTCCTCAACTCATCCATTTTCAAAGGAGAAAAATGACACTGTATGAATTTTTACACAGTAAATTCTAACTGTAAACAGAAGCTGGCAGAGAAGGGATCCAAAATGCCAGCTCCTTTCTCCTTGACACTGATTATAAAATTCATCCAGCAGGAGCCAAAATCAATGATGTAACCAAGGTTTCAAACTTGGGTGATGGCAGGTAGAAGAAGTCGTTTACTGATTTCCCAGTGGAAGAAATTAATGCTTAGATGTCAGCTCCACAGAGGCCTCCTGGCAGAACATCCTTCTTCCAGTCAGATGCTGAGCCTCAGCATAGCAGGCACTGGAGGATGGTTTGTGGGCTTTTTGGATCAATCCCTTTCATTGTTAATGGAGTGAAAAGGATGAGAACTTCAGTAGGGTTTCAATAACCAGGAAACAATAATTAACATTCTGTTGCACTTTGAAAACCTATGTAAGTATTTGACAATCATTAAGTATTGCATTTAAAGTCTCAGAACTGAGCCTTTAGCAAATCCCTTCTCACCAGTAACTACTATTAGAACCCCAAACTGCTGAAGTGTGACTATTTTTTGTAAAGACATCTCAATTACTTGAGATGTTTCTGAAGGCAAAATTCACTTAAGAAAATTCCTTAATTAAGGAATTGTTAATTAGATCAAAAAATCAACTGAAAGGCCAGCATCCTCAGAACTTCTGTGATGGTTTGGATTTGAGGTATCCTCCAAAAAGCTCCTGTAACAATGCAGGAATGTTCTGAAGTGAAATGACGAGATTATGAAAGCTGTAATGTCATCAATGGATTAATCCATTTGACAGATCCAACTGGATTACTAAGTGGTAACTGTAGGCAGGTGGGGCGTGGCTGGAGGAACTAGGTCACTGGGGGTGTGCCCTCGGAGATTATACGTCTTGTCCTGACTCCTCTCTCTGCTTCCTGGCCACCATGAGTGAAGCAGATTTCCTCCACCACATCTCACATCCGATGACCCAGAGCAGTGGAGTCTGCTGATCATAAAACAGTGGGCTCAGAATAAAAGTTTTCCTC